GAGTGGGACGGCAGGTCGCTGTTCCCGGGCGAGGCGGCGCTGGCCGTGCGGCACACGTGCCCGCGCGGCATGTGGTCGCCGGCGACGGACCAGTGCGCGGCGTGCCCCGATTACATGGACACCGACCGCTCGGGCGCCACGTCAGCGGCTCAATGCCGGTGTCGGCCGGGCTACGTGGTCGGCAGCGGCAACGGCAGCGACGGCGACGGGTGCCAACCGTGCCCGGCCGGCACCTGGAGCCACGACGGATCGTGCGTGGCGTGCGCCGAAGGCCTGACTAGCCAGCCGGCCAGCCCGCTGCGGAGTTACTGCTACAACCCGGCCGGCGACAAGACCTGCCGGCGGCTGTATATCACGGGTCTCAGTACAGAGTGGTACCCCGACGGCGTGCTCGACGGCTTCTACGAGTGGGACGGCTTCGCCACCCTGCGCACCCAGATCTTGTACCGCTTCGCCGGCGGGTACGACATCTGCCTCAGCGCCACAACCACCTTGCCGTGGGCCTGGCAGCCGTGCAGCGACCGCGAGGCCGTGCGCATGGGCGACCTGGGCGAGGTGATCTACTACTCCTATAACTGGGCGACTCCGCTGGACTGGTCGCTGCCCGACGACCTCAAGACTACGGGAGGTACCGGGGCCTGGCCCGTCGCCCCGCCGACCGTTGTCTGCGCCGACGACAGCGACCCTCGGTATCCGTCGCCCTCGGCCTCACCGCCCACGGTCACGGCGTCGCCATCGCCGTCGGCCGCACCGTACGCGCCGGCGTGCCTAACTTTCCTCATGTCCGGCTTCGCACCGACGATCGCTTCGGGGCAGCCCATCTCCGAGCTTGGCCAGGCGCTCAACGGCTTCTACGAGTGGGACGGCGTGAGGCCGTCGGGCCAGGACCAGCCGCGCTACCGCCTCTTCGGTACCGACGTGTGCCTCATGACCGGCTGGGCGTCGGACGTGTGGGCGTGGCGCACGTGCTCAGGCGGCGACTACGTCGGGTTCGCGATCCAGGGGTGGAGGCAGCCGCCCAATACATTCACTCAAGCGAGCAACTTCGCTTTTGTCTACTTCGAGCCCGGCAGCAGTGGCGGCGAACTGCTCACAAGCCTGGGCTCCCTGGTGGTGACGTGCAATCCGACCAGCGGGCTGCCATCCAATCTGCCGTCGCCGACGAGCAGCCCCTCGCCCTCGCCCTCGCCCAGGCCGCTGGTGCCGCGGTTCGAGGTCAG